CTGTAGTAGAACAAAGAATTCTGGATCTGCCGTAGGCAGGTACTGAAAAATTTTGGAGAGACTTTTTGATTTTTCTTTTTTGTCCTGTAAATATTAAATATAAACAAAAGTCTTGAACATTAGGATATGTTTAAAATTATTTTGTTGCTTGACGAATAAGCTATATTTTATATGTTCCAAAAACAAAGTTATATTCAGGGAAATCACATTTCAAGGCAACTTTATTACCCCCAAAACGTCATTTCATCGCATTCTTGCGTTATTTGGAAACTCAATAGTGGCTGCGTCGTCACTTTCTTAAAAGATTTATTTTTAACTTTTTTGTTGTACTTCTCGTACCAACTATATCACTTCTGGAACGTATTAAAGATTGTTTCTCCAATCAATTGAGTTTAAAAAACACTATGGATGTGGAAGGGAGGTAAAATGTAACTCACCTTCGTTGGCTTGTCTGTCTGGCTGTCGGTCTATCTCGTAATCCTTGACCCGTCTATATATTTATTTCCTCTCGACAAAAAACATTGTGTAGGAAGAGTCATACATATAATACTTCTAAAAAACCTGTATCTATATCTATCTTTAGACTGTGGCAATTCTTTATTTCCAAAGGCAGTAGGTTAAGCACTTTTAGGCTATTAATTATTGGGGGATTCGCAGATAAGATGAGTTCTTCAGGGTTGTATATAAAAGTCATCACTAATCCTCGTATTAACTGAATGAATTTGGCCGTGTGTTGGAAATATTTCTCTATTTTCAAATACATATAAACAAGTTTCCAATATATCTAAACCAGTAACTGTTAGTACTCTGAATCTCTTAAACAGATACCTATATGATGTTCTAGCACTAACACATGCTATACATCTGATAATCCTTTTCTGTTTCATGGACACATCCTTTGAATTGGTAGAGATCCCAAGAATGATACGCCATATCTTGTGACAGAATCAACCTGTACATGATACAAACTAACTAATTGATTTAATTGTAGAATATCTCTTAAATTTAGTAAAGGATAATATAATGAATTAAGCCTCGTTATTACGTTCCCACAATGCTGCTTCCGCTCCATACATGAATCCAAATACTCACCAAGCCGCTTTATATATTTCACATTATTGATATCAACATTATCTATTATTTTGCCTTGAGTGAAATCTAATACAGTGTGCCTTGCTTAGATTTAAGTATAAATTATTATTTGCATACCAGTTATGCAGTCTAGAGTCTAGACTATGAAACATCTATATTGTCTTGTAACTGTTCACCAAAAGAATCAGAAGCTACAATTGAGATATCATCTTCGAATAAAGTTATCAATGCATCGGGTACAAGATTAGGTAACTCGTTTATGAAGAGCAAAAATAAAATAGGGCTTAGAACAGTTCCCTGTGGGACATCCATCACACATTCTTCAATCCCAGAATTAACTTCAACCCTAGTACCACCAGAGTTTATATGGCGTATAGCTACATACTGCTTTCTGTTTGTGAGGAAGATCCGCAACAAATAGCCAAATAGCTTTTTTCCCAGCAACTGCAGCTATTGACGAGATGTGTTCGTGCCAGATCAGGTCCTCGGTGATCTGGACTCCAACCAGCCGAAATGAATGGCACTTTGGCAGAACTCGGCCTTCCATCGAAACTGGATGAGCGCTAAGACGCTTATTGTTCGTCAAAGTACAGTACTGTGTTTTGGAAGCATTGAACTGTACAAGATTGTTGCGGCCCCAAGCAGTGATAGCCTCCAGGTGTCTTGTCAGAGACGAAGTCGTCGCTAGTCTTCTTTGTTCTAGCTCAGCGGCAGACATCGACTTGTCACTCTGAATTCATGCATGTAGAGTGCTGTCATCAGCGAAGCCGTGGATTGGGTAGATCGTGCAGGAAAGGACGTCGTTGATATGTAAGAGAAACAGTGTTGGAGCCAAGACCGATCACTGGGGAACACCCGCGCTGACGTTTTGGGATGAAGAGGAGAACCCCTCAATTACGACGGATATCTTGCGGCCAGAGATAAAGTCAGCCACCCATCTGCAAAGCTTTTCTGGGAGGCCATAGGATGGAAGTTTGCTTAAGAGGGCAGCAAGCCACAGCTGATCGAAAGCTTTCGTGATCTCAAGAGCAACGACATGAGCCTCACCAGAAGACTCGATGAGTTTACTCCACAATCGCGTGACGTAAGCTAGGAGGTCCCATGTGGATGGTTGGTGCCGGAAACCAAACTACCAGTCGCTAATCAAGCTGTGACGTTCGAGGTAGTCCAGAAGCTCGCGATTTATGCACCTCTCCATCACCTTAATTGTAACAGAAAGCAGAGCTATAGGCCTGTAGTTGTAAGGGTCGGTCTTAGACCTTTTTTTGGGATGGGTTGGACATGAGCAAATTTCCAGTTTTCTGGGAAGATGAAGAGACGCGAAAGAACTGGAGCAAGCACCGCTGCACACCTCTTCAGTACAATGGCAGGAATCAAGTCTGGAAAAGAAGCTTTGTTGATGTCGAGAGATAGGAGCACTCGTCTTACGGTCTTATGCCTGAATGTTACCTCCCGCATAGTGTAGGGAACCGTTTGAATTGACGGCACTTGGGCGTTGGCGGAAACGTCCATGCTGGAGTTGGCAGCAAAGATCTTGGCTAGCACTTCCGCCTTGGCCTTTTAGTCGAATATAATAGTTCCATCCTGACACGTAAGTGATGGAAGGCTACTGTGTGAGAAGTTCTTTTCAATCTGCTTAGCCAGCGTCCAGAAAGACCTACTGCCATTGCGCTGCGACATTACCCTGTGCGTAACTTTTATATCGTACTGGTGTTTGGCATTGCGAACCGCTTCGTTATATTTGTTTATGGACTCGACGTCGGCTTGTCTGTTCTCTACAGTGGGGTTTTGTAAGAAGGTTCTATGTGTCTTGATCTTCTGCCGGCGAGCAGTGTCATACGGTTTGTTAAACCAGCCGTTGGACCCTGGCTTAGGCACTTTAACTGTGTGAGGCATGTATTCCTCCATTCCGACGTGGATGATTTCTGTTATTGAAGAACAGATAGCCGGCGCATCCGGGTCAGTGAAACAGACATCTCTCCAAGGAAAGATAGAGAAGAAGTCTCTGAGCCCCTACCAGTCGGCATGGCCGTAATGCCAAGTTTTGCGGCCTGTACGAGTTTCTGCTGCCACAGCGGGTTCTGACCAAAACCTAACCTCCACAACACCGTAGTCTGAGTTACCCAGGAGGACAGGTCAGCAGTGCTGTAAGGGACAGGATGCGTGGTCAGAAAGAGATCCAGCAGGCTACTGGCGTGTGACGAGACGCGGGGGAAAAAAGTAGGGCTCGTCACCAGCTGGGTCAGCCCTTGAGTAAGAGAGAACGCTTCGACTGCACGACCTGCTGCATCGGTTTTCTTTGAGCCCATCCAAATGTGATTATGGGCATTGAAATCACCGTGAAGAACTACCTCTGAAGCGGGGTGATTGATGTTCAGGAAGTCGATCTGGATGGCGGGGTACTCGAGTAGGTCATCCCAGTTATGGTCCGAGGGAGAGCGATAAAGGCAGCAAATAAATTTGGCTGATTTTTTGGAGTTGAGGCAAAGCCACAGAAAGTCCTTCATGTCTGATTCCAAAGAAGCATCTCTGGAACAGGAAAGACTGCCGCGGACAAAAGCCACAGCTCCCCCGTACTTTCTCAGACTGGAGATAAGCTTTTAAAATTATTCCTCTAAAAAAGGAACTAAGTGAAATATAGTTTCCTAAATATGACTAGAAGTGACTAAGATATTGTTTTTCCTGATTTTTGCAGTTACATCTCTGGCAGCGTTTTTGAAATATTTATTGAATGGAATTATCTACATTATTAGGGCAGTCAGTACCTTTACCGACAAATTCTGCTGAGGTTTTGTTTTCCCTGAAAACTTTTTATTAATATTCCAAGCACATGATATTTAATTGATAGATTAATTTATCTTCTGTTGATAAAATTTGCTTCTTGCCTCTTTTATTAACTTTTAGTGCTCTCTTTTTGCATTTAAATACAGTTCCTTAAATTCCTCATTGTCTTTTGTCATTTTGAAAAGCAGCTTGAGATGGCTGATGTGTCATTAACTCATTCCATATCATTGCTTTTCTTGTAATGCATCAAAATTAGAAAGTAATTCTCGAAATAAAAATTGAAAACGCTCATGAAATACGAAAATGCGGCATTTATATCTCTTATTCAATACAGATATAATCACTCCTCACATCCAAAAGCTAGTTTAAAATCTCTCACTGAATCAGAATTAAAACTTAATGACTAGAATTATTATATACCACCTTCATAAACGTTTCGATCAGCAGTAACAATCTGGTGGTCACTGATTAAATTATCGGACACTGTGAAATCTCCACACAGAAAGTTTACAAATATAAGTTCTAAAGTGGAAGAATATTGTGATGTGACCCTTGATGGATTTTTTACAATATTGAAAAGACCGAATTCGTGACAAATATCCTTCAGATCGTTAAAATTCTTATTTTCACTAGAGCAATTATAATTAATATCACCACTTCGCACAACTTTTCTGTTGGGTTTAAAAACACTTAATAAAGTTTCACGCAAATTAACTAAAAAACATTGGATACTAGATGGAGGCGACCTATGGCATGACAAAATTACATACGTAGCACCATTTAAGTTACAAGTCAGCTCGCATGCTTCAAAAGTCTTAACATGTCAAGATTCACAATTAATTTTAGTGCATTTTGCAGTATTCAGTGCTTGGCAATTCATTAATAAAAGTTGACTATGTTGTGATTTTATCTCCGACTCTCAGACATTGGTGTCCTATTGTGAAAAATTTGCTTGTTGTTTTGGTTATGATTTTGAAATGTTTTCTGGTCACAGGTCTGTATCATGAAAGCTCTCCGCATACTGAGGTTTGACAGATTTTATAGGACAGCCTTGTTGATGTAGCTTGTTTATTTGATACTATTTGATCACATGCAGTTACTGCTATGTTGTGATTTTTCAAGAATTACTTGATCTTTTCTGATGATGACTCTGTACTTACATTGCCGACATAGAGTGTTCTGCAATCTTCTGCAGCAGATATGAGGGAAATATCCTTACTCGAGTCTTTTATTGTGTCGGTGAATGCATGTGCTGGTTCATTTTGTTTCAACCCAGTCCCCTTATTCTTCTTAGCCCCTGTATGTGTGGTTGGAGTCTTAGCAGCTGTCAAATTTATGTATTTATTGAAGGCTCCTAGTAAAGCTGCTTCTAAGTCAGCAGGCCCAACGTATTTCATTGTGAAAGGGCCATCCGCATCAGATGCACGCCTGGTTTGATTCGCATTACACATTTTTTTCTGAAACTCTGTGTTTTACTTTCTAAAACTACTCCTAAGAGATTTAGCAAGCTCATCATTCTCTTTTTAATAACAACTGTCAAAGTATCAGTCTGACAAGCTACTTCAGTCATACATACTTTTATCATCTCCTGCAAGTTTTTCTCAATTAGATCACTACTTTCGGTTTTTCCTTTCTCATTTGCGACAATATCCAGGCGCTGTTCAACATTATCAACTTTGTTATTCCATTCAATTATCTGATCTTTCTTCATCAGCTTCATTTTCTTTAAATTATCTTCCACCTTCGTCAGTCTTCTTATACTTCTCCGATTTGAGCTTGTTCCAAGTCTTCTTAAAGATTATTAACCTTTTGGTTGTATACATTCTTGAACATTTAATCAATGCAATCTGGACAGAATAGGAATAACGACCTTGATTTCATTATCATGACACGAACTTTTGATGGACTTATATTAGCGCAATCGGCACAAACTACTGCTCGACAAATGTCACATGGAAAACCAAGTATTTTCGCTGGGGAAAACTGGCAACGTCTAGTTCAATACTCAGGAATTTCAATTGTGTTGCACGTTATTATTGAAATTTCAGCAGCAAAGCAATATTTCAAATGATGCCTTCAATCAACTTGGAAAGTACTGGTCGGACTTTCATCCAAGGTTATTACTGCGCCAAGGACATAAAAGCTTTCTTGATTTTTTTAAACTGGTCCAGTGGCGCCGGAAAGATTGAAAATAACCAAAAATAGAAATCGCTCAAAATGCGTTTTTTGACATTTCAGGGGATCCTGACCATTTCTGAAAACAAGTATGAGTAACAAATTGAAGGGTGGGGTGTTGTAAAGAAAGGGGGAAGGTTGATCACAATTTATTGTTGTTTGTATATTAATACTTCCAGCCCCGTAGATTCTTCTGTCCATTTGCGCTTAAAACTTTTAGCCGACAAATTATGTACCCCGGGGTGTTAAATGTAGCATGTTTGGTAGTGGATCACAAGGACGCGCATCGTATTCCATCATTTCGATTCGTTATGCATCGTATTCCATTGCATCGCTCTGCATCGCTCCACGTCGCTACGCTTTGCTTCCTATCAATCTCCAATTTTACGTCCTTGTGTTATCTTCAATTTGGCAATTTTCTACCCTCGTGATTTTACATGGAGCTAGGAAGTTTCGAAACATTTCGAAAATGAGATATTATGTTTTTTAGATATAATATGACCTGTGCAAAACTAAAAACCATGTCACTCATTTCCACTTTTGCCGTTATGTCGGTCCGTTTGTGTCCTCTAATCCTGAGTCGTCTATAACTTGGAAAGTTCTGTTCGGATTTGGTTGCAATTTTTACTCAAGGTTACTACCACGTCAACGGGCGCTTGGAGAAAGTAGCTCATGTCAAGTAGTACGAGTATACTCTGTATCGATTAGAAATCACCAGCTTTGATCTAAACAACAGTAGATCTGATGTAACACTTGATACTCCATGTTTGACTGGTCACTAAATGAAACCACACATGCTAGAAAATCTGTCTAATAATGACAACGGTGGCGTTTTTCAAGAACAATTTACAATTCTTACAATATAAACAGATAAACAAAATAGACTAGGCCCAATTTCACCAACATTAATATTATGGACCAATGGGAAAATACCTTATCGAAATGCAATTTGATAGAAGCTGTCAGAGGTCTCTGAATATTAGTGATTTCTATTGAAATATTGAATAAAATCGTGAAAATTCGACTGTATTATAAACAGGACCACTTTTTGATTCCAACATGATGCTTTTGTACAGAAAAAACAGGACAACTTTCATGTTTTTTGATATATGTTATAGGTTTACATTTAGCAATCCGTTATCCCCCTCAGCGAATGGGAATGCGGCAAATAATAGGTCGATTTTGTAGCTGTTAAATTTGGCAGCAGATTTGGACGTTTGTTAATGCACGGTACTCTCGAATTTACCAACTTCAATATACCGAAAGTTATCATTACATACCTGTTGAATAGTGTGGATTTGTCTGTATTTTGAAAGAAAATAGAATACAAAATACATTCCATCCAATTCCTCATCTTCCTTTACGTCATAATACATATATATATATATATATATATATATATATAATACATTTATTAATTTATGGGTTAATGAATTTATTCAAAGCAATAAAAACATTATGTCCTCTCCATCCTAAAACACAGATAATATGTGTAAGACGTGTCAATCCCTACATCTCCCTGATGCATAATGCAATTACTATGGACAAAGACAAAAAATTATGAAAAATGTTTCACAAATAATGTCTTTTAAGTCCAAAAATCATAAAAACTAGTGATGTTTTTTTTTGTTTTTTTGTCCTTTTTGACTGGCGGGGATATCTGTCTGTCACTCGCAGGGTTGCCAAGTCTAACGACGATCACGTCCCGTGGTGGAGGGTGCGAAATGAATCTTTTACATTTGCTCGTTTTGAATTTTTTTCGTCAAAATTTACTAGGAATCATGATTATAGGCATCTTTGGTAGATTTTCGATCCGGAATGGGAAAGATCTCCTATTTATGAAAATATTTTTGGTATCATCTAACCGTTGCAATCAGTGCACAAGCACTGTGACATGATTTATAGTATAACCCGCTGCCCTATCAATACAAATTTAACATACAGGTCGCCTAGCCGTGGGGATGCAGTGGTCGGGATGAATATCACGGCAGCAACTGATGATTTGGGCATGTCTGGTAACAACGTATGAAGTGAGACTCGCTAACTTCACAAATTTGAAGATTTTGTACAATTTCTTTGAAAATGATGAAAGATATCTCTGATTTGGCAGGGTAATGTCGCAGCCAAATGGCAGTCACTCTTTCTGACACAGTCCAGATCGAAAGATGACGATACTCGTGAAATGTATTGATACTTCTAAATATAGGATCGTATCGAACAACCCTACTGTCAAGATGTATAACCCTTATGTACCGACGGAGCTATTTTGCGGTGTCATGGAAATAATTTAAATTTTCATTTGCATTTTTTCAAGTGTTGTGCAATGATTATGGGAAAAATGTCACGAAAAGTCTTATAAAGCATAGTAGAGTATATTTCAACAGTTGGCGGAACTTACTTCACTAGGACCAGGAGGGGAAACGGGATATTAATGCACAACCTGGCAATCCTGTCGCACCCTCATAAAATGGCCGCTGACAACCACACAAGTCTCCGTGTTGTCATTGAATATCATGGAATTAATCCTTCAGAGTATATGTTTTGTGACTGGTACCAAGAGTTGACAGATCCCACACATGTGTCACTCCTTGAAATGCAATAATCAGCTGTATTCAGATAATGTCTAACATAAATATAACCTAGAATGTGTACTCGTGAAAAAAGAAAAATATGGCAAATTTGTAGTTTTTTTTTGCAGGTTTTAGGTTTGCTGGTAGCTTTAAGGCATATATTTGAGAATTTCTTAATCGCTGTGAATATAGTGTGGATATTTGTTCAGTTCCTGAACAACGAAAAATATTCAACTTTATGGATGTATGGATATGAAAAAACCTGAATGGTTTTGTGGGAATATCAATCTAAGGTGCCATAATGGTTCTGATGAACGGCAAGTCAATGAATGAATTAATGTTTTGGAAATGAGCAATATCTTTTGGTAGAGCCTGTCATCAAGTAGGTGCTTAATAGCTATCTGCAAGAGGTTTATAGGAAAAAACACCCAGTATCACATATCAATTGAAGAAAATGATATAGATATGAATAAAAAATCAACAATAGTAATTAAAACATGAATTTAGTTCAAAAATCAGACATTTCTTAAAATTTTAACTGAATTATATGTAATTTCTTAATATTCAATGACAAGTTGTCATCTCATACTTTGACAGTATTTTGTTTTCAACATTTCATAGCTATTGGTTGCTAAAATTTGTTGATTGGAACTTGAAGCTTGTTCGCTGTATCTGACGGTCTGTTACCCTATAGGTGGAGAATAACGGACTGTTGTTGGTGAAATTGGCCCTAAGTGACGTATAAAATATGATAACCAGAATAATTTATCCAATTTTAATTACAACTTGTAATCATATTTCCTATCATGGAACTATACGCGGATAAAATGTTGAAGGCACTCCGAGCCGTACTTTTTTTGTAAAGGCTTTTTTGTCATATCAGGATGAACAAGCTTACTTGATATTCAGTGATTTTTCTGTGTTAGGTCCATTTGCTTCTTTGCATTATCATGCCTAGCGCTCACAGACGCGCTAATTTCACTCAACTTTCTGAGTTTGAGAGTGGTCGAATAATCGGGTTACGTGAAGCCGAATTTTAGAAGCATCAGGAGTAAATCTGCTTCAGTGTCCTCCTCGATCTCCAAGTCTTTCTTCCCATCGAACAAGCATGGGACATGATGGGAAGAATGTTGCAAAATTCAACGCACCGTCCTCAAACATTGGAGGCTATACGAAACCAAATTCAGATGGGCTGGGATTGAATACGCCAAGAAGACATCAATCATCTAATCAACAGAGGAGCTGCAACACATTATTAACATTACGGTGCGATATCTCAGCTATTTTGCGAAATTTCGAGTTAATACTTTGATCATTTTCTATTTGTCAGCAGACCTAAAAACTGTGAAAGTATGCTCAAAATTGCAGCACTCCTAGGGTCGGTGTTGCATTTTGTATGTCATTTAGTACATATTGTCATTATTGTCAATTGTACTTAAGAAACGTTGTCCATGAACGGTATTCCAAATACCTTTGTTTTATTTTGTGGGCAGACAAACGTAGAGGATTAACGGTAGGTCTGTTGACTATCTACACAAACGAGTGAAACTACATAGTTTATTTTGCGCCACCCTGTACGTGGAACTTTCCATTTGTTAGGGTTCTTTAGAGTAACTAGCTTATGCCAAGATAGAGTGCGCAAGATGCAGTTTGCTGGCGGAAGCACCAGATTTTATATAGCTAATAGCTTGCGACTCAAAACACAT